GGTCTTTTATTCCTCTCCATGTTGTATTCTCTTCTCCGTTGTTTTTGCGACTTTTTTCCAAGAATTGCCTAAAAAGGGAATTTTTGAAAAAAAGATGGTTTATTACTGTTGAGAAGTTATCCCGTAAACATAATATTATACTTTTTTAGACTTGGATAAATTTTTTTATAAATTCTAGATCTATTAATGTATATCTTCAATGACAGTATCAACTTCTATAATAGTTTGAAATCTATTGTATTGTATTTTTTGTAAGGTAAAGCTATATATCTTAAGTAGCTAGATTATATATTGAATGAGACTTCTATCTAATTCTAAAAAGAAAGTCTGTATACAATTATAAATTTTCTTGCTAAACCAGTATATGTTCTATACTGATTAAAGTTGATGTCTTGCTATATTCCCTATACTATTTTGTTTATTGATTATAGTATATCAATTGTTAGTATATAGTTGTATCTATCTATTCTATATATGTTTTGTAGATTTATGTTTATTGTATATTATATTATTTATTATTATATTTATAAGATCTATTTTATATTTAAAGGTAAAGATTATTCTATTCATTAGTAAATAATTTTTTTTTAAATACTAGCTCATTCTTGTGCTAGTTTGAAAGTTTTATTATAATCAAGTTATGTTCTGGGGATTATCAGGATAAGTAATTACCATACTGTCTATAAATTTATAGATCAATGAATAGTATAACAGATATCTATTTACGTCTCACCCAATCTTATAGGATAGCTATATAACTGTCTAGTATAGAACTATATCTCAATTCTAACTAAACTAGAAAATCTAGAGAGTCTATACATTAAATTGGATAAAATAATTCTACTGTTTTAAACTACATATTATCAAAGCAACACTTCCTAGGATTGAGGTCTCACCTGATAACTTGTTTCTATCCTTATTAAGAAAACTAACATGTTAAGAACTCACCTAAGATTCTCAGTACTGCTGGTATTAAGGTCTCTTATATATATATATATATATATATATATTTGCATGAAGCAGGTCCACTTTATAAAGATTTTTTAGAGTATATGATACTTTGATTACAAAGCTATTTTGTAAATATTTTCTTATGTTATCTATCTAAAAATTTCCTTAAAAAAGCAAGTTTGTCTTTTTAGATCCTCTGTGACTTGTTGCCTATATTTATGAAACTAATGTGCCTAGGTTTCATTAGCATGCAAAAAGATGTCATAGATAGTTTTGATACCAGAGATAATATCAGTTAGCAAGTTGTGGGCTATTTGTATATGTAAAATGTGTTGTAGTTTTTGACTATAGTTTGATTATACCCTTACCGATGCCTCCTCTGATTAGGGTATCCCAAGTTGTTATGATTGTTGAGGCTAGTTGTAGCTTCAGATTTTATATTGGTGTTGATGAGGCCATCCTTTCTTACTATTATTTCTCTACTAATGATGTTGGCTATTAGTTCTTTAATGTTTGAGCTATATTGCTTGTAAAGGAAGGAGTATTCATTGTCTTCTATATTATGCATTCAAAACAGAAGTCAGTAGCAAATGTGTAGAGGTATCATTTTTTGAGTATAAACATGGTTGGTAATTCCTTGTTTTATAATTTTATAGAAAAAGTTCTAATTTTGTAATCCCTTGTGTCACAAGGAGGTAAGTTTATATTGGAGTAGTAGAGGTTCATTAATGAATTCTTCCAGTCTATTACCTCTTTTTGTTTGTCTGTCAGGTCTTTGTGTTTATTTAGGTTGATTCAGTCCCAGATGTATCATATCTGTTGTATTATTGTGATAGTTTGCCTGATGTCATTGAGGATTTCAGTATTATAGAATTTGAAGATTATGAGTTCCTTATCAGGGATGTAATGTATAAAGATGCCTGTCATATTGGGTATATTATTATTTAGGCTTTCTCATGTAGGCTTGTCTGCTCTGCAATGTTCTTTTGCTGGGTTGTCTGGTTAAATTTTATGCCATGTGACTTTTAGGTATTGTTATTTTATTGTTTTGACTATTGCACTAACTAGTCTGATGTGTTTGCATTTTTTTGTTGATTTAATTATGGCTTTATTAATTTCTTTGATGGCGGTTAATAAATCACTGTGAATATTACAGATACTTTCAAAGTTAATTAGATTGGTAGCAACGAGGATTGCTAGAGTTCTGCAGTAGTGCTGAAACCTAAAGATATTATGCTCATCATTGTTTCTGTTGTTTGGTTCTCGAGGTCTTTGATGACTATGTCTATTCCCAGGTTCTTGTTGTTTTTCATCAGATTGTAGGCTTCATCGCAATATACTGTATGTCAGGTTATTATAAGATTTCATTTTGTTGATAAGATTTTCCATTTGGGTAAGGGTTGTCTTGGATATTTTAATTAGTTTGTTGAGTTTAAGGCATTGTTTGGGAGTTGGATTGATTTTTACTGCAGTGATGATGTTGTTAGATTGTTGCCACCAGGTGGATATGCTTTCAGATGTTATTTGAGTACGGAGAATATTTGTTAGCTCATTGTTAGTTCTGTATTTAGATATTTTGATACCTGATATTTAGCCTAGCTTGTCATTTTGGGTATTGATACAACACATGTTGCTTCTGCCATCCATTGAGTTTGTTAGTTTACAGCCATTACAAGCTATGAGTGGGAAGATATTTGACTGTTGATAATGTCTAGTTTGGTTTGTTCTTTGTTACTACTTAATCTTTTTGCTATTGCTCATTGTTGGTTAATTATTGTTGAGTACCAGGTAGATGTGCTAGTACTTGTTAGGATGTATTCAATTTGGGTGAATGCATTAATATCTTGTGGGCTTTTTTTATTTTTAAGGAAGGTTGAGCTGATTGAAGTGAGATTAAAGTACCATCTGAGTTCTTTTCTTTAATTTAGTTTGTTGTATAGTCCTTCTACTTGGTACCATAGTAAAGTTTTGATTTTGAAAGTATCTAAGGTCTGTTCTATGTATATGATATAATAATATTTTAGGATTTCTCTATATGTATGATATCAATTTTGATCAGTGATCTCACTTATATAGTGAAGTTAGTTCTTGGGATCATTGTTATTGATGCTATTGATGGCAGTTATATAGTTTTGTTTAAGGTTGTTCAGGATATCGTAGTAGAATTTGTGTCCTGTTTTGAGAAAAGTGGTGCAGTTCTTCAGGATAGAGTCTTTCTGCCAAGTGAGCCATTGTAGGTTTTGAATCCTGTTGTGACAGATTTGTCCTGCAGTGTTTTGATCTATGTGAAGATCTTGTAAATTGCTTGTGTATTTTTGAAGTTGTCTTATTGGAATGTCATAAATGCCATAGTGTGTTTTGAGATAGAGAATAGAGTCAGGAATTGTTGCTGCGAGGTTGACTTTATATTTTATGCTTTTTTTGATTCAATAATTAATTTTTTGGATTTCTTGTTGACTAAGGACTAAGTCTCCAGTTATATATTCAATTGTTGGGAAGAGAACATTGTTGATTATGTATTTGTGCATTTTGTCATTACTTGTTTTTTTCTCTACCATAGAGTATATCATATTGATTTTTTTTCATATTAGGTTTCTCTGAGTTTTTTTTCCAGGACGTATTTTGTGTCATATCCTAATACTCTAATGGCATTGTTTTTATCAATGGAGTTGATGGTGTATTCCTGGATAATAATACTTTGCTGTTGGACATTTATGATAAGTAGTTCAAATTTGTTAGAGTTGATGATAATGTTATTTAGTGAGTAAAAGGAGTTGCTAATGTTAATTATGTCTTATAGACATTGTTTATTTTTAGTGATAAAGGTTGTGTCATCTATGTAAGTTACTATGGAGATGTTTATGTTTGATTGTATAAGACTATAGGGATCTTGTCTAATTGTTCAGATGTTGTATCTAGGCATTGTAGCAGGCTAATCAGCGAGTCTGTCGCTAATGATCAAAAACTCATGTAAACTGTGAATAAAAGAGTCCGTCCTTCTATCACACATACAGAATACAAATCAAGGCAGAGGTATAAAAAGATTTGAGCAAGTTTCAAGGTATTTTTTCCTAAAACTACTTATAACTTCACTGTTATAACAATCTATCCAAAATATTGATTTTAAGATTCATCTTTTATTAAGTCATTGAAGGAAGTTACATTTATACATTTTTACACATAGGGCTATTATATAATTATTATGGCTATTCTAGTATCATGCATAAATTGCTTCATAGTCAACTAATTTTCTATTACCTCAGCTCATAGATTTTTACCTTTTTGACATAAATGGATTGTTCACACATTCTTCTAGCTTGCAAGGGATATGGTGATAGTTGGCAATTGATTGTTTCGTATAAGCTTCAGTCACATCATGATAGTTGGTCACGTGACTACATCGAAAATTCTGAACTTTGACTTTTTTTGGCCTTTAACAGCATGTTACGGATTCTGGTAATGAATGGGTTATAGTAAATGTGCCACAGTGTGGGTGATATGATGTTGCCTTGATTGATTTCTTCATGAACAGGATAGAAATCAGTGTTTTCAAAGTATGTAATTAATAAGTTTTCTCTATTAATGAAATAATTTTAGATTATATTGATTGTTTTGATTGGAATTTTGATTCTTTGCATGGCTTGGATCAACCGATTAATGTTGACCATGTCAAAAGCCTTGCTCATATCTTGGAAGAGTATATAGCATAATTTGTAAAATTTTCGAGTATCCTCTAGAACTCTATTGATAATATCGATCAGTTTTCTGATGCTTTATTGTAGTAAAGCAGCTAGTTGTGTTCAGAGAGTATAGAATGTTTAGTCGGTATATTTGATAGTAGAATGCAGTTAGCTTTAGTAAAAATCTTTTTAATGGATTCCAATAGAATTATGGGCCTAGTAATGTTTATGTTGTGTTCCCAGTCTCTGGGTTTTGGGATGAGATAAATGGTACCATGTTTTTATTCATTTGATATCTGTTCTTTAGTGAGGATTATATTAAAAAATCTGATTAGGCCTATAAAGCTATCTTTGTTGAGGTGTTTGAAAGCAATATATAGTATATTTGATGGACCGGGACAGATTTATTACTTGTTTTGCTAATGATAGTATGGATCACCTCCTCAGTGAAGGACTGAGTGATAGAGTTATACCAGCTAGCTTTAATGTTCTCTTTGAACTAATATTCTGTGTTCTAGATGGTGCTCTCAATGTTTTTGATATCACGTTGATGTGTCCAATCTTCAAAATGTTGCCAAATTGTTTGTTTTATCTGTATAGGATCTGTGATGACTGTTTTTCTATCTGAGCTTCTTGGATAAGTCTATTGGTTATGATGCTTTATTTAGGTTAGTTGAGTAAAGATCTAATTATTTGCTTATTATTTGTGTTGAACCAGTTCTATAATCTAGATTTTACTTTTTAAATGTTATTTCTGATTCTTTAATTGATGAATTTTTTGTTTTAAGCTTTTTAATGCCGATCTATTGCTCATTTTCTTTGATGGTTAGGTTAAGGTTATCACTTTTCTTGATAGTTACAGAGAAATTTGTTCTTGAATACTTTTGGTTATGGATAATAGGGTGAATAGGTTGAATTTCGGGTTGTGGTCTTGAGGTCATGAGTTGCTACCTGGTTTCTTCTAGCTGAAACAGAAGTATAGGTCTTTGTATAGGAATGTTTTTTGTCTTTTTTCTTTTTCTTTCTTTGTATTTTGCGATATAACTGTTTGCTGTAGCTAAAATCTAGTTACAGAAAGTGGTTCAGAGTTTGTTGGTATATGCATTCTTATTTATTATCTAGTTTCAAGTATATATATATGAGTCTATTGATTATGTGAACTTTTGCCAGGACTGTTCAGGTATTAATGCCCAGCTGAATTTAGTTGTATTTGTGAGGTGATGTAGGCGTTTGATAGGGTTTTGAAGTTTCCATGTTTCTATGTGTGTTGAGACTACTCTGTGATTCATGGCTATGTTTTGTTCTTTGATATATGCATCTATAGAACTCCAAATTGGGTGCGAAGAGATCCAAATTGCATCTATTCTACTTTTTGAAGAGTTAACTGTCCACTTAATGAACCATATATATTCTTTAGAGTGGAGTATAAGTAGTAATATGTGTCTATCATGTTCATTGTAGTGAGTTTATCAAAAAAGTGTTCGAGTTTGTTTGAGTGGTGTCTTCTTATGGGGCTGTACTTGTCTTTATAATAGTTTGAATATACATAAAATCACTGGCCAGAATTATATACCAGTTCTCATTGTTTTTTTTGTAATCAAGTTGATTATTGTTTGCATTAGTCTTTTTTTTTGCTGGCCAGTATAGCAGATAAATATATTCCTATGATTTGTATATATTTTTTTTTAGGGAAGGCTAGATCAATGCAAAGAATTCTACTTTTGATTCTATTGATATTGATAACTCTGTTCCTGAGATTATATTGGATTGCGATATCGATTCCTGTGCTGTAGCCTTTGCCCTCTCACCAGATAGTGTATAAATTTGCTTTTCAGGGGTATTCATTATTATTCTGGTTTGTTTCAGTTGAGATTATAATATCACATTGTTGTTGTGTACATGTCTCCTCCTATATAAAGCATTTTGTTTCATTTTTGAGTTCTTGACAGTTTAGAGTTGTAATGTTGAGGTAGGGTTTGTCTGTGTGATCAGAGTTGTTGCATTGATATGCTGGATTTGTTAGTTTTGAATATTGTATGGGGTTTGTGTGGGTGAGGGTAAGGTCTGTATAGAAGTGTCTTGCATTTGGGTGTCTGAAGTTTCAGTGGAATTGATATATATTGTGTTTTTGTTCAATTGCTCATAGGTTACTTCTGAATTCTCTAGGTTTCTTTGATTGTTTTCTATTATTGTTAAGTAAATGGAGGAGGGGGATTGTTCAGAATTAAGATGGAAATTGCATTCATGATTGTGTTCATGTTTTAGTTC